TTCACAACCTTCAGGCGCTTAAGTAGCCTATGCAAATGAAATAATTTTTATTCCCACGTAATCACCATTTTAAACTTATGAATCAGAATTAATGTTCAAATTAACTGAACCCACTTGTGTAGCCTAGTAGGCTATTTATTTGTTTTTATTTTATTTTATTTTATTTTATTCTATTTTATTCTATTGTATTTGCTTTAAAACGTTAATAAATGGTGGCTGAACTCTCGGAAAAGATGACATGTCAATAATGACATGACAAGATGACATGAAATTAAGTTCGAGTAATAAAGTTTATTTGAACATCATCATTAACTGAAAACGCTTGTAACATAATTGCATTTGTCTGGCCATATATTGTAATTAAAATACCTATTTGGTAAAAACGGTGCTTTTGCTTTTTCACAAAATGACATTTAATTGTAATGAACCCTTGCATGTTTTTTTTAAGGTTTATTTTATATATTTGATCAACAACAATCTGTAGGCAGAAAAAAAGCTTACTCATGTTTAAGACATCTTACAAAACAATTTCTTTTGGACGGTGTCCGATCAGTGATGTCCAGACATGTATATGCGTCACCTGCTCGGAGAAATTACCCAATAAGACTTTGCATCTTGTTATGGGCGGAGACATCACACATCAATAAATTGTACTCCGGTTTCTGAATTTCTACTAGTGATTCCTACTGGACTTAAACAAGTGCCTAAGGACACCCTAAAACGTAGACATGGTTGAGTGGACAGATGCTGAGCGAAGTGCCATCACTGACCTGTGGGGAAGGCTCAATCCCGATGAAATCGGACCTCTGGCCATGGCCAGGTATCATTGCAGCACATTCTTTAATAGACACATTCTCCGTGTTAGATGATGTCAGTTGCGCAGTTTATTTAATGCTGTTCTTAATGATTCTGTTTATTTAAGGTGTCTGATCGTGTATCCCTGGACTCAGAGATATTTCTCCACCTTTGGAAACCTGTCAAGCCCCGCTGCGATCATGGGTAACTCCAGGGTGGCAGGTCACGGGAGGACTGTGATGGGAGGTATGGGGAGAGCCATCAAGAACATGGATAACATCAAAAACTTAGGGAAAGAATCCTGTTCTTAACTGTTAGCAAGTTTTTCGACTTGACTTAATGAGTCAGCAACAAGTAAGCCTTTCAAAAACAGTTATGATAGATTTGCACACTGTGGGTGTTAACCGCTTGAATTCATTGATAAAAGAAATACAATTTATCACAACATCCAGTGGCTCTAGTATCAAAATAAGCTGGCACTCTTCGTTATTTTTATAAATATAATTGTTTTAGTCAGTTAGTTTCTCTGTTTGCAAATTTACTTAGGCCTATATAAAAAAACGCAATTGAACAATATGCTGTTTTTTTTTCATTATGCTGATTTTGTGCCTTTTGACTCTTATACAAAAATAAAAACAAGTTCCATGCTGAGTTATACTGAGCCAACTCTTCGAGTTAACTTGTTGAATTTTTGCTGCTGTTTTTTTCCAACTTGACAATTTTGTTTTGACATAGCCTATTTTGACTCCATTAATTACGGACTGATACTAAGATATAAAAAATAATAAAATGTTAAGATGACATTTAAATAAACTGCGCAACAATATTCACTGGCGTGTGTTTTGCAGCCTGTATAGCTGGAGCAGGAGCAACATTTTAATAGATCTATTATATTTCCTGAGCTGTTGCCCAAGGTCATTAATGCTGTTACTGTAAATCCTGACAGTGCTACTGCAATAATGCAAATTCACTTGTAGGTTTATGCTTTATAGTACTTTGGTATACTATTCTGCTCTTGCCTCTTCCCTTATATCCATTAGGCTTGAACGCGCCCCTGCATAGATTTGCTTACAATGCGACCGAGTGGTGAATTGGCCTATATTATTTTCACAATGTTGTATGAATTTGTTTGTGGTAAAAGAAACTGGGGGCTGTTTGTTTTCGTTGTTACTTTATTACCTGTCTTTTTGTGTAGTGTTATATTTACAACAGAAATTACTTGGGTAAAACCATGGGGACCCCGCATCCTCTGTGCTTTAGTTTTAAATAGCCTAGATATAATTTTTAATACAGGAGATGTTTAAATAAAAAAGGTTATAATCCATAAATCCTAAAAGTTATAATCCATAAATTGTCGTTTCCATGATTGTCCAGCTGCTGTCAATATAAAAAGGCACATTAGACTGTGCCATTAGTCAATTGCCAATAGGCACCCTCTAAAAAAAAAAAAAAAGATGGGTCCCGGTGGCCATAACTATGTACTAACTTCAGAAAATAAGTACAATATTTATTGTGTTCATGTTGTATTTCAAAACACTTTTGCTGCTATTGAGGTGGGAAACGGGTAAGGTTGGGGACAGGTTTGGTGGTATATATGTTTAAGGGTGTCTTAAGGTGTAAGGGATGGGTCAACAGTGTAGGTGTAAGGGATGGGTCAACAGTGTAATTATAAATGTAATTACAGAAATTAATTACAGATGTAATTACATGCAGGTATTTTGGGAACTTTATTTTAATGTGTCCTTGTTACACGTACTTACTATTGTAATAACAATAAAGTATGCATAATTACACGCAACTAACTCTAAACCAAACCCTCATCCTAACCCTAACCATATAGTAAGTGCAATACATTAATATGCAATTAATATTACTCAGCATTTAAACGTATAACTTCAAACTTCTCTCCTCTTCTCCATTAAGTAACAGAGATATTGAATTTATAATCCATATTGTTTGAATTTTTGTTGAATCATTACTTGGGTTTATGCATAAACATATACCCCCCCAAAAATTTAAAGCTATGATGCCATGACTTTATATCACTTTTTAATTTTAAGTAATGTAGGAAATATGCTTCAAAGACTGGGGAAAAAAATCTGTAAATGACTTGCTGACGCAAGAAAACCAGCCATGTATTGGACCAGGAAATACGTCTCTCTCTCTCTCTCTCTCTCTCTCTCTCTCTCTCTCTCTATATATATATATATTAGTGCTGTCAATCGATTAAAAAAATAACTAATTAATCGCATATTTTTTCTGAAATTACACGCGATTAATCGCAATTAATCCCACCTAACATGAAAGTTTTTAAATATACATTTATATTGCAATAATTTCACATTCAATCTTCAAATTAATGTACAAACAACATAAATACAGTATATTTTTTAATATTTGTTTAATGGCATCTTTTTTATGACTGAAGGCCAGTATCAAAGATAACATTTCAGCACTTGACAAACGGATAGCGACTCCTAGTAGCACTTAAAGCACGGCTACGTGCGATTGTGCATTTTTGGGAAACGCACGTGAAACAATAACGAACGATCGTAAATTGACTATAAAACGCTTTTAAGAGCTAAGATCAATCGTTATCGAGAAACGCAGCCCAGAGCTTAAGAGCGTTTTCTACGAGTCATTTTACGATCGTTCGTTATTGTTTCACGTGCATTTCCCAAAAATGCACTTAACCCAGTCGCGTGTAGCCGTGCTTAAGTGCTACTTAGGAGTCGCTATCCGTTTGTCAAGTGCTGAAATGTCACCTTATAGAATGGCTCGTAATTGTAGTACACGCT